GATAGATCTAACAAACAACATAAAACATCAGTGTAGTGTATTTATGAATAGGACATTTACTTTTTTGTTTTTTAATTCTGTAATTCGATTTAAAGTTTTTTTTTTTTGTAGGTCAAAGTAGGAAAACGAATGAAACAAATTTTGGTTATATATTTTTTATTAAATCACATATACATCTTAAGTAAGAGGAGTCCAATCATAGTCATCGTGTTGATGATAAAGAATATTGTCAAAATAATATTTATCGAAAAATACAAGAAAAACAGTAAACTCAGACTCACACGTTGGTCATACAATTGTAATTACAGCTATACGTTTTTAGGTGAAATTTTGAAAACGTTTACTCGTTTTTGTTATTATACCATCTAGTGCGTAGTAGTAATGTTTATAACGTTTTATTTCTCATTTGATATTATTTGTATATCAAACAGGTATGAAAATTGTGGCCTAAAATGAATTCACTGATTTGTTGAAAATTTAGCACGACCATTTGGTGTCACCGCAATAATAAATAATTTAATATTGAGTAGAATACAAAGCAATGAGCGTTTTTAAAATTGATAGATCTATTTTATAACTTCGATGTGGAGCAGCGACGCTATTGGTTTTTGCAATCATGTGAGCTTTTTTTGTGTCTGTATACATTGTAACTTTTTTTAAAACTGGACCAATTATTTTGAGTAGCAACTCTAAAAATCACAAAATGATCTACTTGGTATTGAGTCGGATCGATTTGAAATTAAAGTTTCAACATTTACTGGCTCTAATTTTTTTTTATTTAATAAATAAAAGATATACCAAGGTATGGTATATTATTCTTGAAAACTAATTTGTCCAAAACATTATAGCATTTTTTTATATATTCTACGGCTGTTTTTTTTTTGGTTACATCGAGATGCAGAAGTCAAACTACGGTAGCATATCACATGTGTTTTGCATATATTTGATCAAGCCAAGGTTAAACGACAAAAGGTGTTAACACCAACGGTAAAAAAAAATATATTTAGATAGTAAACCTATGTAAAAACATGTTTTGCATGAAAATACTTCAAATATTATAATATTTGCAAAACATCCAAGTTCAACATATTTCATTTTACTTCCATTTAAAGTATTAACCACGTTTTCTCAAAAAATTAAATTCACATTAACCATTTTAACAATTCATTAAAACTCATTTTCTTCATAGCCATAGTATAAGTGATTTATTAATTAAATAATCCGTTGTCCAATTATACTGATTAAATAGTGTACCTATTTATACAGGACGACTGGATAATTATGCCCCAATCAATATTATAAAAAATGAAATACATTTAGCGGCGAGTTGTATCAAATTTAAATTAAACCCAGTTCCCACCCCCCTAGAGGGGGTAGAAGTATTTTATTACTCTGTTCAAATTATGATATATTTTAATAATAATTAAAAGTCATGAATTATTATTTAATATTAATGTTATTATTTAATTATCATATATTTTATGACTAGATCAAATCTCGTGAACATTTAACTTCGTGATACTGCTCCTATACTATTAATAAAAAAACACAATTTTTAATATCCTAAAAGGTTATTGTTAAAAAACAGGCAGCAGCCGACCGCTAGTGGCTGTACACGTTAGTAATATTTAATTAATAAGTAATATATGTAGGTAAAATTTATTGTTTTCTCCATCACAGTACCAGTATACGGTTTAATTTAAATTTAAATTTTAGAAACTCAATTTTTCGTTGGAAAACAACAAGATATTAATATACAGGGTGGGGCAGTAAAACGGCCGATTTTCCAATGTATTTAAATGGAAAAACCCGTTCATTACCCCACCTTTTACAATTTAAGAATCTATGAAAAGGTTTTTTTAGTTGTATTTTGTTTTGTTCATTGTCATCTAGTAAAATAGAAGTATAATAGAGCTTTGAAAGAATATACTGTATGAAGTATAAATAGTTAGTGTGAGATTGCTCTAATGGAAGTATATAATACATAAATATTAATTTCATTGATAATAAGCGATTATAGTTTAAACTATGGAGTACAAACGATTGAAACATGAATCGTCGACCATTCCAACTAAATTTAACAAGACATTGAATATGTGTTATTTGGACTACTATGTTTTTGCAAAAAAAAAAACAGTACAGTGGGGTCGGGGCATAGTGGGGATGGGGAGGTCACAGGTTTACAGGAATTTTTATATCTGAAAGTGATAAAATCGCTTTCAAAAAGTTTTTCAGCCGAGTCTGCAACCACGAAAGAGCATTTCGTGGTTGCATGTTGATACATGTGTGGTTTACATGTCTCGTTGAAGTACCGAGATAAATTTAGAGTAGTGGTGGAATTATAAATAACGATATAGTATATTAAGAAGCAGTAACAAGCTAGTATATTAAAACATCAAGTTTCTGGCTAATATTATAGTGTTTAATATTTGTCTTAAAACAATTCACAGAAAATTTGCGCCCTTAAACTGTTTTGAATTTATTATTTAGTTCTAATTTAAATGTTGAACGTACAACATATCTCTTATCTCCTATCTCTCACCCCTTTCCCCTACCCACTAGCTTCCATCCCTTATCCCCTACCCCCTGTCACTTACCATTATCTTTCACCTCTATATTCCACTCCCTATATCCTATCACCTATCTCCCACACCCTATCTCAGTTCGTTCCTAGATGATCACGAAATCATACGCGTGGGTGGACGACTATGACATGCAACAATTTCATATGAACAGAAGTATCCAATCCTTCTGCCACGCTCCCACCGACTAACGAACCTGCTTATTGATGATTTTCATTGACAGCATAAATATCCCGGTGCCACCACTCTGCAAACAATAATTTCACAACAGTATTGGATAATATCAAGTCGCCAAGTCATTAATAGGGATTAAGGCTCTGCATTGCTTGCTACAAAACACGCCTGCGCAATCCACAACCCTTCATGAGTGACATTCCCAGTTGTCGTCTACAACAGGTAAAACCGATTATGACAACAGGCGTGGATTACGCCGGTCCAAGTGTTAAGATCCTCAACCACGCGTCGAACAGTGCCAAGTCAAGCATACATATGCCTATTTGTGTGTATGACATTTGGAAGTGACTTCGGACTTGTCAACTGAAACCTTCCTTATGGTTTTCTGTCGCTTTATTTCCAGACGTGGACCAGTTGAACAAATGCACAGTGATTGCGGAACCAATTTCACATGTGCGGCTAAACTACTCCAGCCGGTCGATCAATTCATCCATTTCAAGGAGTATCAAAATCAGTGTCAGGCAGTGTAAGGGTCCACATACAGCTGGTCGACTGTCAATACGGATTCAGGGAAGGAAGATCTACTCTGAATGCATTGGCCCACTTATGGGAGATTGTGAACGCGGCTAATGTGGGTGTCGCCTGCAATCGGAAGTTCGGGGGAATGGTCACACTTAAAGTTAAGAATGCTTTTAACTTGGCACAGTGGAGCAAAATTATCAGGGCTCTGGAGGCGAAAGGGGTTCCCTCATACTTGGTGAGAGTCTTAAGATCCTACCTAAGGGATAGGCGTCTCCGGTATGACAATCCTTCTGGCCACGAATAGACCATATCCTTGACCTGTGGAGTGCCGCAAGGGACGGTGGACCTACCGAATGATCCCAGATGTCACCAGATGGATCACCAGGAGACATGGAGAGGTTGATTTCCATCTGACGCAGTTGTTAACAGGCCATGGTTGTTTTGGATCTTATCTATTTCACTTTGGCCTAACCGACAATGACAACTGCACACAGTGATGTATTGTCCCGGACGACCCTGAGCACGCGGTCTTCCGATGTGACGCATTGGCAAGATGGAGGCAGGAGTTACAAATCAACTTGAGTATGGACGAGCTAACGCCGGACGGCCTGGTGGACGCAATGCTCCAGACCAGGGTGGGGTGGTCAGCAATCTCAAACTTCGTCATACGGGTGATGATGGAGCGAGAAAAGGCGAAGAGGCAACGACAAAGACAGCCGGAGGCTGCTCCGTGCAAAAATAGCTTCAAGGGTATTGTCAAATCGGTAGTTGTACACATTGTGAGACCGCCCTGCGAACTGGGAACCGGTATTTTTGTAAATATATACAAATAATTGTAAATTATTGTGAATAAACGATGTCGGGCTGGGAGGGAAGCAAAGCGAAAGCGTTCCCCTCCCAGTCTGGGCAATTCAGCGATAAAAAAAAAATGAGTGCCTACCTCTCTTTTTCTATACAGAGTGATCCACTATCATGAACCACTCAATATCTCACTGGGTTTGATTAATAATTGAATTTTTTTTTCCAAAATTTTTTTTTATATAATGTAATCACAATTTTTACAATTTTTGAAGTTCCTACCCCCCTCCCAAACTAGTTATTTTTATATCAACTTTTGATTTTCAAATAGCAACATATATTTTAGCTTCGATGCAGAGCGGCAAAGGTATTGGTTTTACTCTTATGTGGGGTTTTTCGTTATCTATATACTCAGTAACTTTTTTAATACTGAACCAATTCCTTCAAACAGACACTCTATAAATTACAAATTTCATTTAGTTCGTACTTTGAAGGGGTAAAAGTTGAAAAAGTTTACTTCTTCACAGTCGAAATTTGAAAAAAAACACCTTACGAATTTATTTTAACAAAAACACCTAAAATCTTAAAAAAATGTATCATCATTTAAACAATTTTATGTAGATCTATGCAAAATGATACTATTAAGTTTTGTGCTCAAGTACCACTTTTGACTTTTAATTTCCACAAATTCAATTTTTTTTTTCTACTTAAATTTTTTCTGGCTGATTAAAATTCAGGACTGATATTAAACTTGTAATTGTTATACCTTAGTATGGAAGTAAAGCAAAATTAGATTAATATAAATAATACTATTCGCTGATGTTTATTATGAAACTCAAATAACACGAATGACGAGTTGTGCCGGTGAAGCACTCGCGTATGGTGGACAATCCCCACCATATATATTTATATAAACTGCTGATACGTAACACCTTTTATCACTTTTAATATTTAAAATAAAATCAAAAATAATATACTTAACCTTAATAACATTTTTAATATTATAATTGTGTAATGTAGTTTTTGTGCATGTAAGTGAAGATATTTAAATGTATTATTAATATTTTATCTATAGTAATATTACAATATAGATTAAGCAATACTAATATAATATTATATCTACACCTGAACTACTGCTATCCTTTCTTCGAGAAAGTCTTTCACAACAAATTCTTGATTTGAGAAAATCAAATACAAAATGTTCTTAAAATCCTTCATGTATAGCTCTTCTAAAAAACAATCAAAACATGTATTTTTCATTTAAAAACTCATCATATTGTATTTACATTTTTAGGATATAAAAAGCAGGTTAACAGTAGTCAAAAATATTTTAATAACTATGGTAGGTGTAAATCATTTTTTATGTAAACCTTCGAATCTACAAAATCCAAGAAACACTTATGCTTAAAACAAACTATGGAGATTAGAAAATATTTTGGCTCTTTTGGTTTTTATATAGGTACTAATAATTTATTTTAAACGAAACAAGGAGTTAAAGTTATTTAATAATAAATATTTATTTAAAAATGTATTTTAAATTATTTATAAAGTATATCTAATAGTTACTTTTTCCTTCTAATAAAACTGAATTCGCTGCCTCCAAATAGTTTTTCTCGTATCCACCCATAAAAAATAAAAAGTCAGCCAGTCGAATAAATTTTTCTCCAGTTTTAGTGAAGACTTCATAAGTCAAATCAAAAGCTTTTTTTATAACCTGAAAAATGTATTTTGCTAATTAAATGTTATTCCATAAAAGCTAATAATAAAGGTAAATTTTTCATATAATGATTGCAAATGTAATATTTGTGCATGTTGGTGTTGTTATTTAAAAGTAATATTTTTATATTATCAAAATACTTATCTACTGATATAACTATACAAATTAATCAATATTTAATACTAATATGGTGTAATATCTATAACTAAGTTACCACAATTACTGCTATTCTTTTTCTAAGGAATTTTTTTAAATCAAATTGTTGTTTTGTTGAGCAAATCAAATTCATAATTCCCCTAAATTCTTCGAAGCCTATCTTATCTATAAAACAAATCAAAAGTGTATTTTTCATTTAAAATTGATCATGTATTTACATTTTTGTGATAAAGAACGAAAAATACTAGTTACCACTTTGTTGTACCGAATCAGGATTAGCCGTCCTATAATCATTTAAACATTGTAAATACACATTCTCTTCGTCTTCTCCCAAAAAATCTAAAATGTCGGACTGACGAATATATCTTCTTTCAAATTCGGAATATTGGTTGGACCGACTAAAAATTATGTTTTCAGCACAATAATCTTTATAATAGTCTATAGCAAAATCAAAAGAATCGACGATAGCCTGAAAAATGTATTTCATTAAAAAGCGAATTTAATTCTAAACAGAACAGAAAACATTATAAAAATTAATATAAAAACAAAAATCTAATTAAATTGTTAAATTACACTTTAAAACATTTTTTATTTTTATTTTATACTTTTTTTTAAATTTTTTAATTAAATGAACAGTCTGTAAAAAGTAGTTTTATAATAAGCTCAAAGGATGTTTACAGAATGAGAAAATAAGATATACATATATGAGACAGTAGTCTTGCGGAAGGAGCCAGCCAGCGTTGATACTTCTTGTCATGTGGTAGTGAAATTAGTCAGTTTTCATTTTTGTGTTTCATTAAGCCGTTGGAATTTCCATGTTGGATGAGGAGAGATTTGGATGTGATATGGTTAGTTGACTTTCTTGGTTTTAATGAGGGTTGAGAGGACTCTGGTGAGGAGGGAAATGAGAGGATATATTATAGATTTAAATGCATCAAGAAATTTACGGAATGAAATTTCATTATTGTTTGTAGGAGTGGGATTTAGGTTGAGAGGTCGGTGACCTTCGCATACGAACGTTAGTTTGACGAGTTTTTAGTGGTGGATCGTTAATGATTGGGTTCTGGATTGGAGTTTAGGTTGAGTAGTAGTGGTTGTTGAGGTTCATTGAGATGTTGTGTTTACGACTTAGTTGTTTGTTTATAGTACACCCTTTGTAGTTGGATGAATGTTGGCCTTCGCAGAGAGCGCATTTTGCTGGTAGTTCTGGTGATTTTTGTGCAGGTAGGGTGATTATGCCGGAAATTTGACGTTTTTTGTAAGGCTCTTCGATTTTGATCTGGGTGTGTATGAGGGAAGAGATTTCAAAGATGTTGCTAACACTTCCATTAGGGTCGATGTCGACAAAGAAGAGTGGTAAAGATGTTTTTGTTTGTTGTTGTTTCACATTTGTAACGTTTTTCACGGTGTGGCCTATTTCTTCCAAGGCTGAGGTAATGTCAGCAACTGGAGTGGACGGATGTAGGTTTCTGATAACAACTCTCAATGGTTTATCAGATTGCAATTGATAAGTATAGAATTGGGCGTTTATATTTTTTAAGAAATGAATTAGCTTCCTATAGCCGTCCAAGGTATCAGTTTGGATTTTGAGATGAGTCGAAATTGATTTACAAGAGAAAGTGTTTGGGACAATGATATTCTTGAAATCGTTACATAGGTTCATGTAGTCAAGAATGCCTTTAATAAATACTGGTGGATGTGGAGTAGGCTTTGGAGTATAATTGGCAGTATCTTGTTGCTCCTGATTTGAATCGTCAATACATCGTCTTTACCGTTGGTAGACTCTTCTGTATGTAAAGTGGAAAAACTGTTTCGCGTGACAAATAATTTTGTTTTCTTTAGATTTACAGTAGACAGTGAAAGCGGAGGAGTAGAGGAGGAATATAAGCCTCTTTTATTCTCATTTTGTGAGGTTTTATTTTCGTTGTTGTTGACAATAATTTGGTAACGTACGATTTTAATTGGTTATACGGTATCGTCAGAGGTTTTATGATTAGACAGCATGTTGCCGCTGTATATAATCTATGGTCCAAAGGCCACCGCACGCGACGGTGTCTTGCTTTGTCGTGAGTGGACGATATTTACGGAGTGGCTTGTGTTATATTTAATAATATTAAAAAAAATATTACTTAATTTAGTTGGAAAATTCTTTTTATGTTTATAATAGTTTAAATGTAATATTTGTTAATATACGTAAAAATATTTATAGAAAGATACGTACTAATGTAACAATATAAATTAAACAATACTAATATGATATTATATCTAAAGCTAGGTTACCTCAGCTACTGGTATCCTTTCTTCAAGGAAGTCTTTTATAACAAATTCTCGTTGTGAGCAAATCCAATATATAAGTCTCCTAAATACTTTGAAAAGTATGTAATCTAAAAAAACAATCAAAAAATATGTTTTTAATTTAAAAATGTAACATGTATCTACATTTATATGATATAGAAAGCCGGTGAACAGTAGTCAAAACTATTAATTAAACTGACACAAACTATCAAAATTACTGGTACATTATTCTCAATTCCAAATAGTAATGTATGCGTTACTAATTAAGTTACAAAAGTTTTTATCAAAAAAACCCATATGTTATGATGGGGGTAAAAACAAAAATATTTAGATTGAGTTCACATTGTAAAAAAACATTATCTCAAAAAAAAAATTATTATTCTTATTAAACCATATTAGACTACCATTTTATGGTGGTACACCATAAAATGATCACTCTGTATACGATAGGAAGCAAGTGAAGATTAGTCAAAACTATTATTATAACTGTGGAATAAAAAATATATTTAAGTAACCATTAAACAAAATCCAAAAAACAAGCATGTTTTAAACAAACTATTCAATTTCCTGTATTGGTTAGAAAATACTTTTGCTCTTCATTTCTAATTAAAATTTGCTCTTACACAAATTATATTACCAGGTGTTATAAAAAAAGTTTTGGTTTTGTACCAACAATAGTATTTTAGTTGGTTCAAAAATTGAAATCGCACTTTTTCTTCAACATTTAGTAGATCTTTGATAAATAATTTAAATATTGCTGGGTTTTTGTGCTTTAACTTTAGATTATCACGAAAGTTTTTTTTTACTATCTACTTAAAAATGAATATTAAATAATATATTATAAGTACATACAGGATGACCAATAAACACATTACATTTTCAAAAAGGCAAAATAATTTGAATTTTTCATAAACATTTTCTTTAAACTAATGTCACATGTTTGAGGGTGTATGCCATTTATTTAACAACAATTTTCGAAAAAATTAATGTATTTAATTTAAAATTATGTAATAATATGTTTGTGGGTTTGAGCTACGAGGAGAAAGTTTTTCAACATAAACACCGTACTTTGGATTATTTGAAAGCGGTAGTTCGTACAGAGGTGGCACTAATCACTAGGGAGACACTAGAACGAGTGTGGAAGAACTTCCTCGAAAGAATTGAAAATTGCCTCATGGAAGACGGACATCATCTTCCTGACCTTATTTTTGCTACTTTGAGTAAATGGCTTACACCCACAAACATAATATTACATAATATCAAGTTAAGTAAATTTTTTTTTTAAATTGCCGTTAAATAAATGGCATACATCCACAAACATGTTACATAAGTTAACAAAAATGTTTTTTTTTAAATTTATATATTTTTGCTTTTTTGAAAATGTAAAGTGTTTTCGTGGTCACCCTGTATAATGGTTACCTTGTGCTTCTGGTGAAATTGAATTCGCTGTCCAATAACTGTTTAAAAATTCTACATTGTCCTCTTTACCCACAAAATCTAAAAAATCGGACTGAAGAAGAATCATGTTGTTTCTCATAGGACCAAGGTCGTAATAGCCAGTTGCAATATCAAAGGCATATGTTATCAACTGAAAAGATTATTTCAATTATTTTATTTATTTCTATAATAAATTTCGTATATATCTATTATATTTCATAAAAACGATTTATAAAGTTTAATTATACATATACTACAGTACAATATAAAACTTACAAAAAAAAACAAATAGTTATATACAAAATTACTACTAATTATTTTAACCAATTTATTAGGTAGTTATATCAAGTAGTGTACATTTTGAACCCCTGGATAATACAATGTATATAATTTAGCAATTGTAATATTTGTTAATGTAAGTGAGGATATTTAAAAGTGTTATTAATGTTATACAGAGTGTATAAACAAGCATAAACGGTAAGTACTAGGTGATTGGGCATCTGAAGACCCCCAAATAAGTCGCCCGTTTTCCTATTTTCGTTAAGTCAAAAATTTAAGGTTTCGATAGTTAAATTTAAAAAAATGACTTTTAAAAAATATACATATTGCCTGATATTTAGTGCAAAAAGCTTCCTTTAAAAGAGCGGTCACCTAATTTTCAGCCCCTTACTCAAAAAGAGATGCGACCCCTCTTCCTTTACCTAAATGAGGACTTATTTGGGGATTCTTCAGATGTCCAATTATCTATTACTTACATTTCATGCTGGAACACCCTGTATAAAGGTACTTATTTAATGTAATGATATTACTATATAAATTAAAGAAAACAAAAAGGATATTTGATATAAAGCTAAATTACCTTAGCTGCTGCTATTCTTTTTTCAAGAAAGACTTTTATATCAATATTTTGTATTGTGCAAATCGAAGCCACGAGTTCCCTAAAATCTTCTAAATATATATGATCTGAAAAGCAAATAAAATTCATCATTTATTTACATATTTAATTTATGTATAGCAGGTAATCGAAACTATTAATATAACTGTGGCACAAAAATATTTCATGTTAACTCCCGAATGTATAATAAATCACTTAAAATCATTCTCTGGAATGCTAACGGCCTCAAACAAAAAGAATCTGAACTATTAAACTTTCTTTTCGAGAATCAAATTGATTTAGCTCTAATCACTGAAACCCATTATACTTCCAGTTCCAAACATTTTTTCCGGGTTACAATATCTACAAAACCAATCATCCGGATGGTACGTCACACGCGGGTACCGCTATTCTAATCTCATCTTCAATCCAACACCATCTACTACCGTATTTTCAATCCCTACCATCCAAGCAACAAGTGTCTCAATTTCAATAAATCATATTCCTGTAACTTTTTTCAGCAGTATACTGTCCTCCCAGGCCATGTATATCTCAGCTCCATTTAGACGAGTTCTTATCGTCATTAGGGCGTACATTTATCGCCGGGGGAGATTTCAACGCCAAACACCTCTTGTAGGGTAGTCGGGTTGAAAACCCTAGAGGTCGACTATTTTATAACTCTATACAGGTAAATAGTTTTTCAGTTATTTCACCCACTGGTCCTACTTATTGGCCTACTCACTCGAATAGACAACCCGATTTACTAGATTTTTTTATGTCGTCAATTCCCAACTACATAAATCACACTATTCAAAACATATGCGACCTGTCTTCCGATCACTCCCCCGTTATGTTAAACATTATGGAACCTCCACTTCTTATTCCTCCTCGTCCCTCTCTATCCAAAGGTCCAGTCAACTGGAAACAATTTTCTACGACATTAGAAAATCATACAAACTTAAAAATTTCCCTTAAAACATGCAATGAAATAGAATCTGCAGCGCTTCAACTAGTCAGCTCAATCCAATCTGCTGTTAAAGAGTGTTCTTACCCACCTAATCTGTACTGTCACTCAAAATATAATTCTTATCTTTTACCTCCCAATATAAAAGCATTAATCGCTGAATAACGCAGGCCCGCTCCCGCTGGCAAAGATCCAGACTTCCTTCCGACAAGACTATTTTCAACAATCTGGCAAACTTAATTAAAAAACACAAAAACGACCTTTTTGATAAAAAATTCAAATCTTTAAACACGCAGGATGGGTCATTATGGAAAACCACAAAAAACTTCCTCAAATTTAAAGAATTTTCCTGTCCTATTAAAAAATTAGACGGGTCGCTCGCCCTATCAGATCTCGATAAAGCCAATCTGTTTGGGGAACACCTCTCAAATATTTTTATACCTCATCCTAACATTATTTCAAATACCTTACATTTAGAAAAATTAAGTAACTTCCTTGACGCTCCATTACCTATGTCTCTTCTTACTAAACATGTTTCCCAAATGAAATTGTTAATGTGATTCAAAGATTAAAGCCAAATAAATCCCCTGGTCATGACTTGATAACGAACAAGATTCTAAAACATCTTCCTAAAAAAACAATTGTCCTCCTAACTTTTATTTTCAACTCAATGTTGAGATTGTCTTATTTCCCCACCGTATGGAAATTATCCATAATCATTCTCATACTCAAACCAGGTAAACCCTCCAATCTAGCAACCTCATATAGACCCATTATTCTACTCCCAGGGCTCGGAAAACTATTCGAAAAAATCGTCCTGAAAAGATTAAGACCAATTATGGAAACACAAAATGTAACACCAAATGCACAATTTGGATATCGTGCAAAACATTCTACCATACAACAAGTACACAGGCTAGTCGATGTAATTTCTTCTTCTTTTGAGAACAAAAAGTATTGTCCGGGTGTCTTCCTGGATGTGGCACAAGCCTTTGACAGAGTTTGGCACACCGGATTGTTGTATAAAATCAAATTATTCCTCCCTGCTCCTCTTTATTTACTAATTCGATCATACCTTGAAAATCGTACATTTAAAGTTCGTCATGGTAATGTCTTTTCCTCCCTATTTCCTATATTAGCAGGAGTTCCTCAGGGAAGTGATCTTTCTCCCGACCTCTACAACATTTTCACTTCAGACATCCCTCACACCCAAAACACTATTCTAGCCACCTACGCCGATGACACAGCTATTCTATCCTCCAACAGAGACCCGACCGAAGCATTTAATGCTCTTCAACAACACCTCGATCAAATTGGAAAATGGTCCTCAAACTGGAAAATTAAAATTAATGCAGAAAAATCTGTACATGTGTCTTTTAAAAAATACGCCTATTCTAACCTTCTAAGAAGTTCCTATCCCCCCCTTGTCTCAAGTCAAATATCTAGGAATTATTATAGATAAAAGACTAACTTGGGGCCCCCACCTAAAATCAAAAAAGAAGTCACTAAATACTCGTTCGCACTTACTACGTCCTATACTGAAATCCAAACTCCCACTTCATAATAAAATTCTTATTTATAAGTCAATGTTAAGACTAATTTGGTCATACGGAGCTCAAATATGGCGTTGTGCTAAAAAGAATAGAAGTTTTCCAATTGATTTCCCTCCGTACAATCACGTCCGCTCCATGGTATGTTTCCAACCTCACTCTTCACAATGACTTACACATCGAATCAGTTGAAAATTTAGTTAAGACTCATTATAAAAAATTCCACTCTAGATTACTGCTTCACTCGAATCCTTTAATAGCAAGCCAGCACACAGCTACTATGCCGGACAACCCCACTCATCGTCTTAAAAGACGTTGGTGTCGAGACCTCTTAAATTGTAATGCTACCGTTTGATTTCTAGCCGAAACCTGTTATAGGGTGCTATCACTAGATAGCTACCCTACTCATAGTCTACAAGTCATTAATTACATTGTTAGCATATTTTCTTATTGTATATTTTGTATGAACAGATTGTAAATGTTATTTTAAAATAAGAAATTTTTAAAAAAACTCCCGAATGTACAAAATCAAAAAAACATGAGTGCTTTTAACAAATTATGTAATTTCCTGAATTTACTAGAAATTATTTCTCTTATTATGTTCTAATTAAAAATTTATCTTACCCTTCCTCACTTTAAATAATGTATATATTTTTAACTTAAAATACAAATTTTCAAGTACTTCAACATTTATCTTTATATTCTAATTCCTCATTTCAAACAAAACTAGGTGATTTAAACAAGTTTTGATTTTGTACCAATCAAAATTATTAGTTGGTTTATAATTTGAAGTAAGGCTTTCTCTCATTACTGGATAGATCTTGGATAAATAGTTTAAATATACTGATATTTTGAGTTTTAACTAATACTACCGTTTATTTTTAATATTTTATTGAATATAAATAATACTATGTTATCGGATTATGAAATATGTGTACCTATGCAATAAGTAATACCTTAAGTATAACTTTTTGTAAAAGAAGTGTGCGAATATTATAGAAATGATAATGTAATAATTGAATGTTGTATGTTACAAGACTAATTTGAGTTAGATTCTACGATATATACTTGGTGGCCCAAAATGATTTGACAAATGAAATAACTTTTGGTCTAGTAAATATTTTAAAGATAATTTATAGTCATTTGCGATAATAAGCATCACGGTTTTTATTTCAGTAATCTATTTTACTTTTAAAAATTCTTTTTTGTTACATTTTTTTAAAAAAAATTCTTAAGAATAATTTTCTGAATATTTTTTATTATACTGTGAGTTTTTATTTCTATATAAATACTAAACTTCCACCGAGATATACAATCGTAAATCTTAAAACATTTACTTGAAAATTAATATAAAATGATACATTGAGTATAAAATAGTATAATGGTTACTTTGTGCTTCTGATGAAACTGAGTTCTCTGACCAATAACTGTTTACATATTCGAAATTGTCTTCTTTGCCCACAAAATCTAAAAAAGCGGACTTGCTAAGATTCTCATTGCTATCAAAACCTGTTGCTTCGTTATTGTAATAATAGTAGTAAGCAAACTTATAGGCATCTGATATAACCTGAAAAGTTTATTTCAATAACTAAATTTTATTCAATATTTATCTAATTTATTTTATACATAAAAAAAAAATTTCAGACAAAATTTTTTTAAACGTATTCTATAAAACGTGGTAGTTGCCACGTAGATTACGGAAAAATTCTAACCTAAAAAATATTGTTATAGTTTTTGAACTAATTTAAAACACTTCAATTCTAATAGCAGATAAGTTATGGTTGTTATGTGTTATATACAAAAATATTGTAAATAATTTTATTAAATAACGTTAAGCTAAAAAAAATTATAATTTTTAAGAACAAATTGCTGTAGAGTAATTTACTGATTGACCTGTTTGTAACAAATAATCTAGCAATACACTGACAAAATACTTATAGTTTCAAAATATTACTCTAAGTATATGAAATATAAAATATTACTTCAGCAGTCGATGGTTGCGATTATTGAAAATCGTTGAGCTAAGAAAATTATAATTTCTAAAAAAAAATTACTGTACTGTCTGTAGAGTAATAAACTATGAGCTGTTTGTAACAAATAATCTATAGTTTCAAAATATTATTCTAAGTATATAAAATATAATATATTACTTCTTCATTAGTTGGTGGCGATGCAGAATTATTAACTATGACAAAAGATATTAACAAAATAGCGAATTTGAAGGCCATTGTGTTTGACTACTATAAACTGAACTTCTACTGAGCTACTAAACGAATAGTTTTTAGACTCTATACTTGCCATTTCATGCAAAGAATAAAAAAAAAGTGTCAGACATTAAACAAATATACCACATGTATTTGCAAAAAATCGATCGAACTATGGCATTGTTTCAATTTAAACAGTTATGTATTTATTGTATATAGATCATGCAAATACGTAGCTACCAAACTGTACATGTGTGTAAGTGTGCGTTTTTTTAGGTTTTCCTTGAAAATTATTTTGAAAATGTTTAATGCTAAACCGATGTGTGATGTAAATTGTAATATCTTCCATTCCATCTATTATAAAACCTATTATTTTTTGCTTTCAATATAATTAAGGTCCCAATGTTTTGGCTTTTATATATTAATTTATATTTTAGCCTTATATAGTGTATGATGTTCTCCTCCTCACAGTATATATATAATAGTATAAATTCAATTTTCGGTTTAATAGTCTATCTTAAAGAATCTATTCTTATGGTAGGTAACGACTGCCAGCTGTCTTATATTCTTCAAATGGTATTATTCCTAACCAGATGGTGTTAAATGGTGGTCCACAACATTTTACTAACATCTTATTGTGTGTTGGCTTATAAACAAACCACGAGATTAAAGACTGGTGCCTGTTTATAGAACCATCTGTCTCATACTAAATTAAATAAAACTAGTCAAATCTCAAAATATACTTCATCCAAAGTACACGGTATCTAAAGGGGTACAATTCTACTAAAGTTATTTAAAAAGAAACCTGGCGTTTTAAACTAGTTTTATATTTGTACCAACAATAGCATTTTAGTTGGTACAACAATTGTAACTATACCCGCGCTCTCCCTTAACATTGGATAGATATTGCCAGTTATTTGAGTTTCAACTTAAAATGATACATAAAGTATATCTAATAGTTATCTCGGTTTTCTAGTAAATTCGAAGTGCTGCTCGATAATTTTTTATACATTCTACAATTTTTTCTTGTCTTAACCCACAAAGTCTAAAGTTGGGACTGACCAAAACCTCCAACAACACTGTAATGGCCATAAGCGAGATGATAAACTTTTCTTATAACCTGAAAAATGTATTTCATTGATTGATTTTATTATTATGAATAATACAATGAAAATTAAACAAAACTAATATGATATTACCTCTATAACTTAAATACCTCATCTGCTGCTATCCTTTTTTCAAGGAAGTCTTTTACAACATAACTTTTTTCTGTGCCTATGTACATTTACATTTTTTAAGTACTGAAAGCGTGTAATCAATAGTCAAATCTTTTAATATAATTGTGGCACAAAAATTTTTTCTTAGAAACGCTTTTAACAAACAATAATTTCATGTAATTTTTATAAAATATTTCTGTTCTTTTATTCTAATGTCTCTTACACATAATATTTACTTTTGAATGTCTGATACTTTTATATATTTTTAACGTAAAATACTTATTTTCAAGTACTTTAACATTTATCTTAATATTTTAGTACCTTATTTCTAACAAAACCAGATGTTTTAAAAAGTTTTAATTAACGTTTATTGGATGGTTTGTAATGGTAACTTTTATCTCTTTCTCATTATTGATTATTTTTACACTACAGATGGATACTTACCGACTCCCTCGTTTAAAGATAATATTGATACATAAATTTATTTAAATACAAAGTAAAATAAATAAAAAAATAAACAATCAATATCAAAAACCTATTTAAACTTTATTTAAAAATGTACAGTACATGCATTTAACATAATTAACACGAATAATTTTTTATAAATCAATAATTTGGTTGCTTTATAATAATCGTTTACATATTATTATTAGTTAAAGTTGTCACTTATTTTTTTAATTGCTTGTTTTATCAAATAGTTTCTTTTGAACTTGAAATAATACAAAAACAAAAATCACTGTGAAGATGTAAGATATTACAAAGATAGTACGATTTTTAAAATTTGATGACATGAATATTTATTCCAATTGTATCGTATAATAAAAATATCATTAAATACAACAAAATACAAGGTATAAATTACGTTGATTATGAATAACAGCCAATACTCGATAAATGCTATATTTGAGTTTTCCAGTTGAAGTCCCAATCCAAATACACAACAGAAAAAAAACATTCAATTTAATACGTTCGAGTTGCCTAACCATTTTATACTTGAACTGACTGATCGAAAGCATACTATTTTTTGGGTAACAACTTTTAATATATTCGGTCGAGTAGTCCGGCACGTGTACAACAAGCGTTCTGTCATACGTTTCAAAGTATTTTTTTTTTTTTACATTGTATTGTGTAATTCTTTGTATTTGTTTTATTTTATTTGCGTTGTCTTCGACGAGGAAATGAGTATGTATATCCTAAAACAATCTATCTTGGGCATACTATCTATCTGGGCGATATGCCATTTTTTTGAAAAATTCAATCCTAGCTAACGGAGAATGCGTTGGTTGCTCAAGGATACATTGTATATCTTTGTCGATTCTAATGCAGAATTTTCAAGTTTCAAATAGTGAACTCGGTGATCTGCTTGTTGAGGTTATAACTTATGTAAAATATAATAAAAAATAATTATATCGCTCGGGTCTTCATGATACAATTCTAGTTATTGATTTAAGTACATTTATTTATATACATCCATTTACATAAATTATATTTATTAAATACAGTAAATATAAAAAACCAGTACAGTGGGGTCGGTGCATAGTGGGGACGGAGCATAGTTGGGTCGGGGCATATTGGGGACGGGGAGGTCACAGGTTTACAGGAATTTTTAAATCAGAAAGTGATAAAATCACTTTCGAAAAAACGCTTCGATGCAAATCGGTAGTTAGTATTTTCAAGCCAGTACAGTCCAAACCAAGCACAGTATAAACCAGCAAAGTTAGAAAGTCTTAAATGAAGGTTCTGTAATTACAAATGAGCATCAAAGCGATAATTTGAAAGTGATTTTGTTCGAGAGGACTAGTACAGTAGAGTATTGGCATAATGTAATCAAAGCAATGAGGAAACGGAGAAGTCACAGGTCTACAAGAATTATTATAAATAAAAGTGATAAAATTGAATAAAATCGCTTTCAAATAAACGCTTTGATGCTCATTTGTAATTACAGAACCTTCATTTAAGACTTTCTAACTTTGCTGGTTTATACTGTGCTTGGTTTGGACTGTACTGGCTTGAAAATACTAACTACCGATTTGCATCGAAGCGTTTTTTCGAAAGTGATTTTATCACTTTCTGATTTAAAAATTCCTGTAAACCTGTGACCTCCCCGTCCCCAATATGCCCCGACCCAACTATGCTCCGTCCCCACTATGCACCGACCCCACTGTACTGGTTTTTTTTTTTTTTGCAAAAACTTAGTGGACCAAATAACACATATACAATGTCTTGTTATATTTTGTTGGAATGGTCGACGATTCATGTTCCAATCGTTTGTACTCCATAGTTTAAATTATAATCGCTTATTCTCAATAAAATTAATATTTATGTATTATATACTTCCATTAAAGCAATCTCACACAAACTATTTATACTTCATAGATTATATTATTTCAAAGCTATATTATACTTCTATTTTACTAGATTGACAATGTACAAAATAAAATGCAACTAAAAAAACCTTTTCATAGATCCTTAAAATGTAAAGGGTGGGATAGTGAAACGGGTTTTATCATTTAAATACATTAGAAAATCGCCGTTTTACTGCCTCATCCTGTATATTAATTTCTTGTTATTTTCTAAAGAAAAATCGATTTTCTTACATTTAAATTAAAATAAATCGTATACTGGTACTGTGATGGAGAAAACAATAAATTTTACCTACATATATTACTTATTAGTTAAATATTACTAACGTGTATAGCCACTAGCGGTCGGCTGTTGCCTGTTATTTAACAATAACCTTTTATGGAGATTTTAAAAATTGTGTTTTTTTAATAATAGCATAGGAGCAGTATCATGATGTTAAATGTTCACGAGATTTGATCTAGTCATAAAATAAAGTATTATCATTTATGACTTAATTATTATTAAAATTTATCTTAGTAATAGTACATAGTAATAAAATAATGAAATATTTTATACAAAATTAGAGCTACAAGTTGATAAACTAAAAAATTAAAATTAGCACGAAGCAGATTATCTAATATTAGACAATTTAAACAGTCAAGCGTGAATCTCTTTAAATGAATAACAGTATAACAATATACAAAACATTAGTTTTCCTTTAAAAAAATTGTGTAATAAAAAATACATTTTGAGGCGGTATACTGCATAAAAACTAACACTTAATCTGAATCTAAAAAACAACAGTCCTCTTCATTATTTGCAGGTAGATGGACCTTATATACTCATAGTTGACCTTCGGTAAGGTTATATAACGCAGGCTATAAAATAACGAGATAACGACAGTGGTTTTGTCGTATCAGAATCATTAAGTGTCTTAATAAGTACACGGACAGGTTTTTTCCCCAATAAATCGAGTGTCTACTATAAGCAGTTACACGATTTAGTCACCTATGATATCATGTAATAAACACAATATTATGATACCGATCATTGGGCCCTAACCTAATCTAACACGGATAGACGTTACCAACTTATAGTTTTTAGTGTCTGTTCGTTTCTCACATCTGGTACACCGGGTTTTTAGTAAAAAAAAAAAAAAAATTGAATTTGTGTAAACTTTAAGTAAAAAGTGGTACTTGAGCACAAAACCTAATAGTATCATTCTGCATAGATATACATAAAATTGTTTTAATGATTTGATCAATTTTTTTTAAAGATTTTAGGTGTTTTTGTTAAAATATACGAAATCTGCGAAAACACAGTTTCCCGGCAATTAAAAAAAAACTGTAGTGCCGAATTTTTTTCCCGTTTAATGTGTTTTGGGTACATATGAGTTCCAACTACTGGCAAATTTTCAACCCAGAAGTTTTAAAATTACCGTCAAAAACCCCGAAAAACAAAAAAATTTGTACCCCCCCTAGGGGGTCGGGAAATGGGTAT